TCCCTCCCACGGGGTGCAGTCCCTCAGGAGCAGACGGCTCCAGCGTGGGTCCCTGCGGGGTCACCAGCCCGGCCAGCAAACCTGCTCCAGCCTGGGCTCCTCTCCCCATGGGGCCACAGGCCCTGCCAGGAGCCTGCTCCAGCGCGGGCTTCCCACGGGGTCACAGCCTCCTTCAGACAACCCCACCCCCGCTAATGTTCTGCAGCAGGGTTTTTTCCTTCTTAAATATGTTATCACAGAGGCGCTACCACCATCGCTGATGGGCTTGGCCTTGGCCAGCGGTGGGCACAGAGAAAGCTTCTGGCGGCTTCTCACAGGGGGCACCCCTGTAGCCCCCCCACTACCAAAACCTCGCCACGCAAACCCAATACACACAGTGCTACAAGTCACCATAAGCTTGTTCCTGGTAGGGGTGAACTCGCTCCTGGGCAGCGGAAGAAGAGGAAGCATCACTTGGTCTGGGCAAAGCAAGGGTCAAAAGGCGCACGGCCCGCTCTGACTCCCATCGCCTCAGACATGTCGGAGCACAGGGAGCCGTGAGACCCTCTTGCTCCTCCTGTGTTGGGATGGGTTGGATTGGGTAAGGGTTAGGGTTAGACAAAACACGTCCCAAGGACACACTGCTTGAATAGGGTCTCAGAAATCCCACTGGCTCTGGACAGATGCAGAAGAAATAGCTTGTAGCCAAGAAAAGCAGATGCCACCAGAAAACACAGAAATGATGGTAGAAGACTACAAAGTTGGATTATGCAGCTGGTGCCTTTCTTAGGCCAGCAGATGTGAGCAGGGTTAAAATGCAGGTAGGAGGGAAGGGTGTCTCACAAAATAAGGGGCATGTTAGCCCATGGAGCACATGAATGAGGCCGAGCAGAGGCAGTGCCTTGCTGAAAGCGAGGCAACAGGCATGGAAAATTCATTTTGCACTTCCAAAACCTGCAAGCTCTGTGGATAACTGTGTGTGGAAAGAAGCAAGGGCAGCTGAGGTGGCATGGGAGGCTCTCAAGGACACAGGCTGCATCCAGGATTACCAGTTTCTGGTTCTGAAGAAGGAAGGGTTCAAGAGGCCATGATGGACTGTGTGGACGTGCCACCTTCTTGGACTATGTCATCAGGCACCTGTATCTTGGAAAGACTTTGTCCCTAGCAGCACATGGGGGGCTCCATGGGGAAATTGAGGTGTACAACAAATGTCCCTGGAGCTTCTGTACCTGGGTTCTGAGCATCAGCCAGTATTGTCAGCTCAGGGCAGCATGGAAAACAGAAGTCTCAAACTGGAGATACAAAGCTCTTCTCTCTGGTGAGAAGGGGAAGACGACCAGCACGCACATTTAGGTGTCTTCAGTACTGACTGAAGGAGGTTGGACCGCCAGTGGAGAGACACGGGAGGACCTGAGCATGCATGGAAGAAAATGACCATGGAATAAGCGTGGATGGAGACAAGTAAGGGTGATCTCTGGGGAAAGGGAGACGCCGCATGGAGGGGAAAGGAAGGAACCTGAGGGCGCAAGGGGCTGACCCGGACCCGCTACTGCACCCAGAAGCCTCCTCTCCTGCCCCCAAAGCCCCTTCCCCACTCCAGTGCCCCGCTTTCTGCACCGAAACACCCGAAAGAC